TGCGCCAGTGCACACGCGCTGGATCTCCTGCGCAGCCGCATCGATGTCTGCAGAGAACGTCATTGACTCCAAGCTGCTGCTGCCCTCGCGTGCGTGGCGAGTGTAAAGACTACTCATCGCAGCCGTACCAGCAGCCACCACAGTGGCAGAGCTGGGCTCACCGCTCACGCCAGACGTCTCCGTCTTCGAGCTGCCAGACACGCTCCTCGTGCCAGCCACACTCTCCGTAGCACGCGCGCTCACTGCACCACTCGACGAAACGCTTGCCTTCTCATCCACCGAAGCACTCATGCCGATGGCAGCACCACTCACAGAAGCGCGCGAGTCACTCATGACAGTGCTCGAACTCCTCACAGCAGCACCACTAGTCGAACCAGATTCCGACGCAGACGCACCGAATTCCACCTCCGCCGCATCAAACACCGACAGAAGCAACTGGCCGTACTCGCCGCTCGCCACGCTCTGGATTCGCGTGCGCAGCTCTTGGCCGTATAGGCGCATGTACACAGTACGAATGCGCACAAGAAGACGGTAGTACCGCACAACCCACGCGCTCACACCGTACGCGCTCTTGCCGGCACTCGTCAGCGTCGTCTCGAACAGCTGCGCCAGTAGCTCCACCGGCTCCAATACCGACCGCACCAGGAACAGCAGCGCATGCTTCGCGCCGCCAGAAAACTCCGCGGTGATTGCGCCCACCAGGCCCGTATTGTATTTCGCAATGTACGCAGTGTTAATGTTGCGCAAGTGCTCAGCAGGACTTAGCACTAGGATGGTGATGAACGTCGTCTCATCTGTGCCCATGCGGCCTTCACCGGCCTTGTACAACGCATCCGCATCCGCAGCAGCCTTCGCGCTCGTGTGGATCGACGCGTTGAAGTCGGCCACCTCGCCACGCATAGCCGCCAGGATCACCTTCTTCAGATCGCCGCTCAGGTCGCTGCTTAGCACCTTCACCAGGTCCTCGCCGTACTTCTCCTGGAACGTCTTCTTCAATAGCGCGATCTCAGCGTTCGAGCGAGCCATCACCACCGGGTAGATCCACTCCTCTGTAGTGCCTAGGCCCTTTGTCGCCTTGCGCAGAATCTCCGCCTCCACTTGCTCTAAAGGACTCGCCAGCATCTGGAGCAGAACGCCGTAGTTGCTCGTGCTCTTCACCCACACCGTCAGACTCTGCTTGAACAGGATGCGGTAACGCCACCAAATCAGATAACGCTGCTCCACAGTCTTCGACAGCAGCAGCGACGCCAGCGCTGCCTCGTCAGAAGCTGCGCCAGTGCACACGCGCTGGATCTCCTGCGCAGCCGCATCGATGTCTGCAGAGAACGTCATTGACTCCAAGCTGCTGCTGCCCTCGCGTGCGTGGCGAGTATATAGACTACGCATCGCAGCTGTGCCAGCAGCCACCACAGCGGCAGAGCTGGGCTCAACATCGGTCGCGGTTGATTTCGAAACGGCATGCTTGAGCTTGGAAGGATGCGGGCTCCGATTTATTGTTGGTGCGGGATTTTGCAGATTTTCGTCTTGTTTTTCGTTAGGAACAGATTTCTTGACTTTGTTGGACAGGTTTGCTTCTGTCAAGAGAACGGTATCGTCAGGGAAGTTAACGAATGAAGAGATATTTTGGACGTGTCGGTTCTCCTTGTCTTCGTTTGCACGATCAACGACAGTGACGCGGTACTGGCTGGTACCGCTACCACTTAGGCCAAGCAAGAACTCCTCGTTGTCGATGTTCTGTGGCTGGGCAAACCCAAACTCTTGGAAGAGCCGAATGATGAACTTCGCGGGGCCATAGAAGACCGTCTCACCGCCCTGCGTGATCAGCACATTTTCATAACCACCGGACAGCTTAGGCGATTTCTTCAGCATGGAGGTCAGATCTCGTGCATTGGCGGCGTCTGGGACCTTCCTGTTCTTATCGGACACTTCATCGATCACCAAAACACGCTTGAACTGTCCGAGCTCAAGACCAAAGTCGTGAGCAGCAAGCTCGGGGAACTGTACTGACAACGTCTGAGACACGTTCCAAGCTGCTTGCTTTTCATCCAACGAACCAGTCTCGTAAAAGTTGTCACTGAAGTTTGAAAGATTCGTCAAGCAGAAATCACGCGAAAGCTGACGGACCTCATGTGAGACAATATTCTCGACGTCTTTACCCCTTCTTTCACAAAAGCTCACAAACTGAGCATGCCACGTCCATCTAAACAAAGATTCCCTTCGCCTTGTGCATCTTCGAATCGCCTTTACAGAGACCCAGAACCACAAGCGTGTCCTCGTACGTCAAATTCACATTCCCTGCTATTTCAGAAGAGACGAGTCCATGCTTCAAACCACCAAAAAAATCACTCATCACCGTCTCCGTCGTCTCCGTCGCCTTCTTCACCTCCGTTGTTGTAGCAGTTGAGCCATCATCGCCGTGTTCAGGCTTGGAACGGGTGGCATGCACAGCAGAGCCGATCACACCGCCAGTGGCAGCGGCCGTAGCGACACCGATGGCAGCCGTCGCCAGGCCACTCACCTTCTTCTTCTTATCGCCAGAAACGTCCTCCGACGTCATAGGAGTCTCCTCCGTCGTGGTCACCTCGACAACCGTCTCCGTCTCCTCGGAGGTCTCGGGTGTCTGCTTGCTCGATCCCGAGCCCGCGTCACTCGTCCAGCCAGATGATACAGCGTAGCCGCCGCGTTCAGCCACACTGCGGGTCACGTCGCCACTCACGTCTCTACTTGCCAAACCTACAGCACGAACAATATCGAGCTTGCCACCCACAATCGCTTTGATACCAGCAGAGTCGATCACGCGGATATTGCGCCCTGAACAAATGCGAA